TATAGGAGGGGACAACGTGACGCGGTAAGGAGTAGATAGTGAGTAATTGAACTGCAGTCGGAAGTATTATTGACGTTCGTTGTTACAGTGTTGTTTTAGCGCGAGTATTGAGATTAAGTGTATCGCAGAGTTATATTCGGAAAGAATAAACCAGTTTTTATTAAGTAAAGACTTGTGTCGTTAAAGTTTCGTTGGAACGAAGTTACGGAAAAATCAATTAACAAACGGAGACGTAACAGATCAATTAATCTCATACTTATCATAGAAGCCGTGAAACTGAAAAGCAAAATAATCCCATTTTTTTAATTGTCTTAAATATTTGGTTCAGTATTCGATCGGTAATATGTAAGAATATCATGAGTTTTCCCACCATTTTTAGTAATGTAGAAACTTGTAATTTTAACGTTTACTTTGTTTCTTTGCAGTTTTTACAAGAAACATATGTTCAGAAAACCGTTGAAATTGCATAGATCTGGTTGTTTTTGTGTCTTTGTTGTCCTCATAACAGATAACTTCTACTTTGCCTGCAAAAATGTGGCCGCGTCCTTTCGGTGGTTGAGTGGACGATGTCTGTATTTTCCAGCCGAAGAATGCTGTGACGTTATCGTAAGAGAAAGAATATGAGGTACAATGCTTGATCTGAAGCTTTATTCTCTCTCTCTCAAAATGATTTCTCACAAGTATGAGATAGGTCCATTTAATAATGGAAGGGTCGTACAGGTAATTTGTGGAGCATTCTGAAATTAAAGACATGAATGAGTTTTAAGCTGTGAGAGAAATAAACATGTCTGATTTAAAGTGAAACCATCTTTAGTTACTATAGCGCAAAACAAAACAACATTAACAGTACTTGTGTAGACACTTACAAAATAATGTACACTTGATATGTGAATAAAAATTCCGCTTTTCTTCTCTCGAGATGAATCCCTACAGAACTGATCACGAGAGAGAATCTGAGAATACCAGAGATCATTGTTCCTATATGGTATTTTCAGATTTTACCGATTTCCTCTAAGATTGACAAGATAGGTCCACTGAATAACAAACGATTTGTCAAGATATTTATTGCAAAAGAATTCTGTATGATCTGACTTCATGAGAAATAAATAGATACTGAAATGAATTGTACAACAAATATAAACGATATTTATTCAAACAAACATAATGAAAATGTATTTTATTTGCCACAATCGATATTTACTTTTACTAGAAAGTTAAGTTTAAAATCATTTATAGCTTATTCAGATGAGGTCATACTAACTCTGTTAAGATCCTGTTTTAGACTGCCTTTGCCAAGATCCTGATCCAGACCGAATGAATCTCACGTTACTGACTTAACTCATTAATGACAGACTTATCCAGAGTAACTTGTGTGACACCCATGACTGATCATTCCTAATGAAGCATAAGAGAGGTAATTACCTTAAGAAACAAATTGGCTGCTTGAAGAAAAGCTAACTATAACTTTACAGATTATAGATGATCTTGCAGTTATCTTTGCTAAGGAAACACTAAATCTATTCTAGGTGAATGACACAGTACAATAGTTAACAGAGTAAAATGAATTTAACAACATTTTTGACCAAAGTGTTATGTGGAAACTACTCCTGCCTGCACAAATAACAATTTTGAAAAATTCCTATATTAGTACAAGAATGTGGAGAAACACTTAAAGAGCAACTAAAAAGCATTGACTATTTAATCTAAAATGTATATATCAAAACAAAAAAAACTGTGTAGATAAATCGACAGAATTTCTAATATGAAGTACTATGTATTGCTAATTAATTACTTTCCAGTTACTAATGTGGTATATAAATATGCCACGAGTTTCTACTTTCTTATATTCATGTAGCATTATCCTAATTTTATCAGTTACTTTTATTGAGGTCACACCTTTTCTGACCAGGGGTGTCATGGCTGTAATGCTGCATGTTGTACAAGAATGTATACAGCATTGTCCTTTACTGGTAGTTCAGGTGGTATCCCGAGGTTATGTCCTCCCCTATGCTTGAATGAAAATCACCATTCATGTGTGTTACTCTCTACATTAACTGCTCTGTACATAATACTGAATTTTAAACGGTCAAGTAGATGGTCTTGGCTCAATTACTTTTGAAATGAAGTTACTTGATCCACTAGCTGTTATTAATTGGACCTATTCAGTTGCTCTAAGATTAACTCAGGTTTAGCTGAATAAACCACAGAGTGAGTAAAAGGAGAAACTTTTTGTGCCATGACAACAGGATATCTTATTGTGGAATTTACTATTTGTTGCCAACACGTGTGTTGCATTTTACTCCTACTCTTGTGTAATACAAATCTAGAAAGCTTCTCAATTACGGAAATGTTTTTTTCTACAACAAAGGGGTTTTACACACGAGGAATAGTTTGTCATTGAAAGAAGATGCTTGTGCAAGAGAGTTGTCAGGTCTAGAAGTCTTCTCCTGACCTTTGAACTTTTACTGATGTTGAAGAGACCATGACTTCCATCTCGCTACAGTCAATGACTTGAGAAGAAATGCTGTTGATGTCTGGTGCACCCAAAACAGCTACTCGTGCTCTTAACTTCAGGGTTGATCTCTGTGCAAGGGATGCATGGGAACTGAGGATCGTTACTGGTGGGACATGTGGAGAGCCTGAGACCAGATGAACACTCTGTGTAGAACTCCCAAACTTTGCCAGCCAGAGTAATTCAATCCCAGCTCTAGTTGAAACCACCCAAGATTATTGAGGAAAGACAGGAAATACTTTAGGTGGACAACATGCACCAACAGAAACCAGCTCAATGGCAGGGAAGATGTTGGGCGCGAAATGGTGAAGAAAGTGAACGTTAGAACAGTGATGAGCCTCTCCAAGCTGGGGGTATACTTTTGAGACAACTGTGGATCAAAAATGATCCCGAAGTCAAGCAGAGACAGTAAATGAGCTGCCAATGGCAACTCATTTTGCCTGATCCATATCAGGAATTGACCATTCAGAGTCCCTGAGAGTACCTACAAAATTGTACCTGTGATGTTGAGGACACCTTGTTTAGGTAATAACCAGATAAATGTAAAGGAGAAGTCCTGGCCATGATCACAGTTCCAAATGAATGAGGCAAAATAAATCACTCCTCCAACAGCACATGTTTAGCTAGTGGAGCACTGAATCACTTTCAAGTGAACTACTCATACCTTCCCATGTACCAAGCTATACAAGGCTATTGGTTTCAACTGATGGCTCAGCAGGTACATTACAGTCAACAGCAGGTGGTAAACAATGCTGCTACAGCTCCATGAACCTAAATGAGCCCAAGTCGGGGCAGATCATTGACTTGAGGAGTGCAACAGACAGCTTACACCAAACAGTTTGGTGGTCAGCCCAGCTTTCTTAGGGATGGGTGGATCTTGGTATGCACCTATCAGAGTACAAAGGGAAGGAAATCACAGTAATCCTATGTACATAGATAGTGTTGTGTAATTTATTAAAAATGAAATTTAGTGCATTAGTGTTGTTTAACGTGGTTATAGAGCCCACTAATGAAACAATCCATTTTCTATCCAGAAAGCAAGCAGCATTAGCTCTGACAATTATCCGTCTGAGGAGGTAGGAAGTCTCAGTGTTGTTCTGCAATTGTGGTTTAGCACAGTAAGTAAAGTTGAAGTAGCCAAAGATAGCAGTCATGATAGGGTTGTATCCATCTCACCATGTTTGAAAGCTAGCACATGGTTAGCAACACATCTGAGGTAATCAAGTGCAGGATTGGGCAGACTCAACACAGTGGCAGAAACTCTGTGATTTGTTGGCTGAATATGCCAATATCTTTGTAAGACCAGATAGCTTATTTAATGAATTACAATCATACAATATCTCAATGATACAAGTGATGCACCTTTGATTAAACAACTGTCATGCAGGTTTCCTTGGAGTGTTAATGATGCAGCCAAGGTTAAGATACATTGGATGTTAAAGGATGGAATCATGTAGCCCTTATAGAATGCTTAGTCTTCTCCGGTAGTGGTTGTTAGGAATACCTGTATAATGTTCTTGTCACTTGTGAGAGGCTATGGAGCTTATAATGAAGGGCCTGCAATGAAAAAAGTGCCTGGTCTATGTCAATGACATCTTGATGTTTGGTTACACATTTGAATTTGCAGCTGACGTCTTGAAAATGGTATCCAAACTGAAGAAAAAGGCAGATTTGAAAATAAAACCAGGAAAAATAAATATTCATATGCATATAAGTGGATATTTTTGGTCAAATTGTTAGTAGAACAGGAATCTCTACAGATCCTGCTCAAACAGGAATGGGGTAAGATTGGCCTTGACCTATGACCAAACTGTTTTCTAGGTTTCTTATGTCATGCAATCAATGGTTTGTGGCTAATATCTCTAAGGTTGCCCTATCATTATTGGCTCCTATTAAAGTTGAGACATGCTTCAGATGGAGTGAGAAATCTGAGCAAGAATTCCAGTCTCTGAAGCATGCTTTAGTAGAAATCCTAGTGTTGGTATATCCATGACAATATTGTGAGTTGCTGTTAGATACTGATGCTGGTGGTGTAATTACAGCAGTATTATTGCAGTTGTACAATGGAGTAGAATATGTAATTGCATACACTAGTCATATGCTCATGTCTCCTGAATGCAAATGCTGTATGACAAATAAAGAACTGCTTTCCGTTTTGGTCTTAATAAAAAACACTATTGGCTCTATTTGTACATTAGAAAGTTCACTGTACAAATACACCATGCATCGCTGAAATGATTGATGAAATAAAAAAAAACAATCAAGAGGGATGATAACATGCTGGATAACAGTGCTACAGAAGTATAATTTACTCACACATTATCACACAGGCCCACAACAGGGAAATGCAGATTGATTGTCTCCTTGTACCATGAGATCCTGTCCACTCATTGAATGTTCACATCCAAAACACTGTGTTAGAGTTGTAGCCATTTCTGTCATAATGACAATAAGCCATACAATATGGTATTGCACTAGTTGATGAATGCCATGATTAACACTTATGAAAGAGCAACTGCAAGACCCAGATCTGGTGTCCTCAGCTTGTGTTACAAGTAGTTATCCCAGTACTTTGAAACAAAAGATTCTCCAAACTTTGCAAAAACACAAAACTGAAAGGCACCAAGGTGTTACCTATGCTTGTGCTAAAAATTATTAGGAATTCTATTGTCCACATTCGAATCGAGGCGTTCAGCACTAATTTCAATAGTTAATGGTGTGTGGTATCTAAAGGAAACGTCAACCAAAATAAGGTATACTCCTGCAGAGAATTGTTGATTCCCCTTATAGAAATAGCTGTTGTTCATTAATAAGCACAAAGCTACACAAAGGGCTATCTGTGCTCTGCCCACCATGAGTATCGAAACCAGGTTTCTAGCAGTATAAGTCCATAGACATATTGCTGTGCCACTGGAGGGCTAGAAAATAGCTCTGAATATCACTGGTTCTCTCACAGATACAGAACTAGGCCACCATTATATACTTGTGCTCATCACCTATTTCAAAAAGATTACCAATGCTTATCTCTTGGTTGGTACATCAGCACAGTCAGTGGATGATGCATTAGCAGAGTAATGGATATTTCACTTTGGAGCACCTGAAGAGATCACATTGATCAGGGACCTAACTTTAACAGCGAAATGTTCTCTAAGTAGTGTAAAGTGTTGGAGTAGGGAAAATGTGTACTTTACCTTATAAATTCCAGTCTGATGGTTTAGTAGAGTGTATAATACATTGTCAACCGTATAATTGATACATTTATTAATCTAGCCAAAGATTTGTCTGTTTGTTTGTAGTTAACTACAAAGCCACACAATGAGCTATCTGTGCTCTGCCCACCAAGAGTATTGAAACATGGTTTCTAGTAGTGTAAGTCCGCAGACATACCATTGTGCCACTGTGGGGCAATCTAGTCCAATCCAACTTGGATGAGCATTTATCATATGTCATGAATTCAATAGGTTGTTCATTAAATATGCTCATGATCAGGTGGGAAATCTCTCTCCCTTTAGACATGATGTATGTTCCTATACTAGAGTGGATGTTCCACAATGTTGACAAGATTATGTGGAGTGGTTAAAGTCTGTGTTAGTTGATATGCAAGAGTTTGCACTCCAAAAACTGAAAAAGACTACCATTTGAAAGAAAAGGTGATATGATAAAACGGTAAAGGAACAAATGTACCAGTGTGTAGACTGTGCGTGGCTTTGATAGGCGCCAGCTGTATGGAAGTTAGTTAGCTTTAGCTGGACAGGACCTCACTTTGTTCTTTGATAAGCTGGTCCATTCATGTATGAAATACAACAGTAAAAGGTTGCCTGAAAGTGCATTGTACACATCGATCATCTGCTTCCATATGTTACACACGATGTTCTCAGGAAATGGCAGCAGTTTTCTCCAATAGTAGGTAAGCTGATATCTCAAGGTTACAATATCCCTTAATTTCTAATGAGAATGACTTGTCATGTGAGCAGAGCTATTTGCCCTGAGAAAGTATGACACTATAGATTTTAAGTATATAGTATGCTGCTTCCTCAGACTGACACAGAATTACAGAAAATAGAGGTTTTGTAGAAAGAATTCAAAGAATATTCTTACTTTCAACTCTCCAGTAAAGGTAATCATCCTTCATGTGTTGAACTAATAAACACACTCTTTCTTTGCACAAACTCATTTGATTTCAGAGAAATTCTGAATTACTTCATAATATTTACTGGTCAAATCTCCAGTTATATACTGGATCTATCTTATTCACTCTTGAAGGAAATCAGTTTTACACAAGAATACCATATTTGGTAATTTGTTTTGTTAGGCTGATTGTAATAAGTTCTCAATTAATTATTGCTGTCTGCTACTATTTGAAACTATCACCACAAGATAACTTATTTAACCTTCTCATAACCAGAGAGGTGTCACTGATATTCCCCGATTTTTTCCTTCTCACAGTGGAAATAAAGATCATGAATATATATAATTCTCACTCCCCCAATATTTTTTAAAAGTAAGGATGATTATCTACCATTTTATATTAATCAGTCTTTTAAAGTGCTTTTGTAGGAATTGTTAGTGGATTAACCCTTTATCTCAGTTGGTAGAGCACTCATCTCATGTGCTTGAAGTTCCGGGTTGAATCTTGCTTGCTGATAGAGCAAAAAGTGAATTACTACAGAAGCACACGAAGCTTCTAGATTCTAAATACAATAATAAACTTGTTTGTAGTTAAGCAAAAGCTACTAAATGGGCTATCTGTGCTCTGCCCACCATGGGTATCGAAGATCGGTTTCTAGCGTTGTAAGTCCGCAGACATACCGCTGTGCCACTGGGGACAGACGTCTAAGCATCCCCTGTCAGAAAGACACACACACAGCATTTGAATTGTCTGTTGTCATCAAACTACATTAGAGCAGACTCTGCACTGTACATTTCTTTCATCATATGGAACTAGATTCATATAGAATATATTGTGTATTTCGAATATGATGTATCTGTAGTATGTCTCCAAAGGTACATGTGTTAACATAACTCATACTATATATTCCAAAAATTAACAAACTCTCCTGGCATTCTTTTATATTCCAGAATCTGATGATGCACTCAAAACATAATGTTTTTGCATGTTGTAAATGTATAAGGTAGCTGTGTTATTTATTTGGAGAGCTGAATTGAAATATAAAATAATATTTTCAACACAGTAGTAGTAGTAGTAGTCGCCGTATAAAAGGATGTATAGTGCTACCAACATGCTTTGGAACACACTATCACTAGGCCATGCCTAATCTACTGGTAAATACAACAAAAATAACGTAATAAAAATACACGTTGAATGTATTCTCACTAGTCTTTTCATACAATATATATATAATTAAAATAGTAATACTTACGTGCGCGTGAAGCTTTTTAAACTATGCAAAAATGAAAGTTGGACTAGGGATGTACAAATGACGTCACCATATGCGTAAAGGAAAGGTGGGTGTAGACAGTACCATGCACTGTATAAGAGACAGGTAGTTGGGGATTGGATCCGTCATCCATCAGAACCCCATCTTACACAGCAGTGTTTATGGGTTAAGGTTTTGTGTGTGTGTTTCTTCACTTGTTTATAGACACTTAGAGTACCAGTATCGTCACCCTGTTCTACTTGCCCCCGATACCCAGGTTTTGAAAGCGTCACTAGATCTGTTATCTTTCTTTAGATAGCTCCCTAGTGGAACAGTGGTATGTCCGCGGACTTATACTGCTAGAAACCGGGTTTCGATACCCGTGGTGGGCAGAGCACAGATAGTCCTTTGTGTTTAATAACAAACAATAACAACAGCTCTTTCTAGATTAGTCGATCGATCTGTCATTTTTGATCAGACCATTTGGATCAAATTATCTTTTGTACTAGAGGTCTTTGTTCGGTATCAAGTGTTATAGAATAGGTTTAACCTCGCAGTCATTGAGACGCCCAGCACTGCCATTAGATTAATTCAGAACTCTACGTACTTAACCTTTTACGTGAGTTGTCTAGGTAGGTCACTTAACTGTTTTAATTCCTTTACATACATAACACTTACTTCAAATACTTTGTGTGTTCAAATACAAAATACCACAATCCAAAATGATGTTTCGTACGCAAAGCACGAGTTTTTCCCCCTAGTTTCTAATTGTAGTCATTTGTATACTGCTTTTTTTCCTTAATCAAAATAAGTTGATTACCATCTCCATACAAAACCATAAGTTTAATAACGCTAACTTAACATTTATGCAATTGTTCGACAATAAATCTAAATCTACTAACCTTTACATAAAGCAAAAAACAGCTTCGAATGAGAAAATGAACAGAAATTGAGTCAAACTATCGTGGTGTAACCAAGAGTCGCGTATTCAACGTTTATATACACTGAGCGTGAGTAAATGACCGTTATACTAAAACTTTACAACTAAATAAATTAGATATGAATGATGAAGTATTAATTTAAATGATTGACGAACAGTCTCACTATACTCACTGATGATGTATTAATATGTTATCTTAGAACTTGGTGAGTATATTAAATCACTGTTGTAAAGAACAGGATAGATAATAATATGTTTTAAATGATAACCAATATAACTATTATTAAGTTTTATCAACTCATGCATTGATCAATACTCCTATGACACAAGACTTCTAAGACATTTTTGACTCTGATTTGCTAGTTTGATTTACAGTAGTTAACCTCTTTGATATTTATTTGTATTGGTCTTTTTATCAAAACTTTGATTCACCACATCTTCTTTACACCTTCATGGAAAACTGCCACTTGTCTCAAAGTACTGGAGCTACTGAATGTTTTTGTAAAATAAAAAGTTAACTCTTTGGTAATGGGCACAATAGAATTTCTTATTAGTGTTTAAATAGTTAGGGGAAAAATGGATAAATATAGTATAATATTGGCTATACATTTTAAAGAATTTGTAGTGCTAAAACTGTTAATTATTTCTTGTTAAAGGAAAATAGCATGCATAAGTTTGCAAGCTTTTTATATTATCATATCTGTCTTTATAAACTCTTCCAACAGTTCATAATATAACGTTTATTTCCTCCAAGCAAGTACCTAGTGTCTATCAGTAGTGACATGGTTCAAAACAACTACAGTATGTTAGACTTCTATTGTATTTTTGTTTTTAAAAATTAAAATTGTGATAAAAAGTGAACAATTGAAGATAAAAGTTAAAACATTTTCAGGCGGTGTCCAGTTTCTGTATCAACTAAGTGCAGCTTTCATAATTCTCCTCCACCAGAGCAAAGAGGTCTGATGAGTCATCAAAACTTTGTTATGTATACATACTTATGGCAAAGGTACAAGGGCTATCTACCACCATACTTTATTTTGAAAAATGATCAAAGACAGCCAGTCAGAAGCACCCTTGATGTGAACATGCCACAAAAATGTTAGCAAGTATAAGAGGAATAAAAAAATGCCTTCATGTTACTGGAAATCTATATACTGCTGTTTTTGCTTCCTTACAAAACCACCAGAAAGAGAAGGATTAAATAATCTTATCCCTTTGACAAAAAAGTAACACTTATTAAAAAAAAAGGATTATGTCAAGTTCAAAGTCATTACAAGTAAATGTACTGGTTTAAATTTATTTACAAAATGTTAATTTTATTCACCTAGAACAAATCATTAATAAGGAAGAGGTTTAGTAGTTTCTAAATTTATAGTGGTTAAATTCTTGTTTGTAAAAAACTAGTAATGATTTGAGAATAACTTTTAACCCTAAAATTACCAGTGTGGTCAAAATGGGCTTTTCAAAACCATTTCTAAACTATTTATGTACTAAATTACTTGTGGATTCATAACAAGGTCCCTATAATGAAATACATGTTATATACAAAGATTAAAAAAACAAATACCATCCATATTACAGTTAATCCTACTATTTGCAGGTAGGATCTCTCATGGATCTTACACAGAAAATGAGTTATTTCACCAAATTACTTTAGTCATTCCTTTACACTGAATGTTGTAATGGAAGTACAAATTTGAGTTGTTAAAAAGTGACTTACTAGAAAGTGCTAAATGGGTTACCCCTTTAGTTCAATTGCTAGAGCATTCATCTGATGTACAAGAGATCTCACATTTGAATCTGAGCCAAGGAAGTAGTAATAATTACTGCAAAATAACATGGAACCATCCCATGACTATGAAATTGAGCCCAAGGATGAGTCTCGTTTGTGAGAGGGGAAGGACGTATTAGTTTGAGGTGTTAAAAAGTGACTTACTAGAAATCACTAGTGGGTTTTAGATATTTAGCTGAGCTAGTAGAGCACTCAACTGGCATGTGATAGATCTCGGGTTCAAATCCAAGGGGAGAAAATAAATATTTGAAAAAATCACAAGGTTATAAATATTACATCACTCAATATGATGCAATATTTGGACTCTATTGATAGTGAACAGTTTAAAAACAAGTCTGTAATTTCAGAGTTAAAATGGCTGTTAGATAAACTGAAAGATTTCTTCCGTTTTTGAAATGCAATTTTTAGTACAGACTTTACAGCTGTTATTGTTTGGAACCTATATATATATACGGATACTACTTTATGAGAGTGATAATTTTTTAAAGTTCATAATTTAAAAAATTAATTAACCTAATAAAAAAGTGTGTTTAAATTATTCAAGTTATATATTATAAACTTTGTACAATTTTTGGTCAGGAAAACTCTCCCTCCCCCCACAGAAATTGATGCCTGGGAAGGTAACTAGTTACTTTTCTGCCATGAAGTCCTTTATTAAATGTATGTTTTAATTTAATACATCTAATTATATTCAGTTTTGTCTATTTAAAACCTTGACAAGAAATTTCTATCAAAACCTGTAGTCCTTTTATGTGATGTACATATAATGTTGGATGAACTTGCAACAGTCTGTTACCAAAATGCAAATGGACTTCTTTACACTTTACTTCAAAGTTCAACCTTAAGTCATAAGAAGCATTTTATCTTGTACAGGACTTGTTACTGAACACTTTCTATGCAACAATAACAGTTATAATTTTCCAAGATTCTGTTATGTTGATAGACCTTATATTTGACTAATGTTTACAAAAATATTTTCTATTTTCCTTTCCTATTAATTTTTATTTTCAGTAAATACTTAGGTTTCATATTTAGTAGGTGGATAAATTTTTAAAATTCCTATAGAAAGCAGTGACTTTTTATTATTATCTTACTGACAGATTTTCAAAAGTACTTCAATTCTGTCATCAGTTGAAACAAATGTCAACAATATCATATCTTAAGATTTCATAAGAAATAAAAGCAGGCAGAAAAATTGTCTCCAACAGGAATAACTAGGCAAAACCCTGCATATTTATGTCCAACATAAATTTTGAAACAGTCAATCTCTCATAATTAACTACATTACTTAGTACAACATTTCAGAGAATAACTCAGAGAAAGAAGATACCCTGCTTGGGAATAAATGTGTCTTAATTACTAGGTTTTTATATATCATATTCTAGTCATTACTGTAAACCTTATCTGTCTATAACTCAAAAATGTTTTTATAATATAACAACAGCTTTAGCATCTTGCACCACTGTTATTAAAGGAATCATTCTGGTTGTCCTTTTCTGCATACTTTCAAACAAATAAGTATCTTTCTTATAGGTATCAACAGTGCCCCAGGGCAACAAAGGCTTTGTTTGAAAATGTTTGATTCCATCATTTGGCCCCTATAAATACTGAGCCCCCAGTAGGCTTAATCTAGCCCTATGTATCAAAACTGATCACAGCAATATAAATGTGTTGTTCAATGTAATAATAAAATCACTTAATCTAAAATTTTCATGAATAAAACATAGCAGTCTATTTGTTTTATTCAATATTGCCACATACAGTACAAGTAATTTTACCTTAATCTTTTCCTTCATCAATAACACAAATTATATTTTGACATAAGAAACACAGTGCATGTACAAATATCTTCAGAACTCATGCAACCCAAATGAATACCAAATAATAAAAATAAAAAAGCTGGTGAGACAGAAAAACAAATAAAGGAATCGCCAGCTGGAACTCTTCTTTCTTTGTTAAACGGTGACTTTTACATAAACTTCGTGGTATCAGAGATTTATAGCAATGTTTCAACAAGTTCAAATCTTACAAAATTGGTCTTTAAATAAAGTAATACTGCAGTACTCTATTTTAAACACAAGTTCATTAAAGATCATGGTAATATAATACATAAAATAAACTGAATGTAAAATAGAGACAGTCTACTATATGTAGTTATGGTAAGGTGAAATAATCTGCAACAGTCCTGATCAGATACCGGCCATGGCTACCGTAGATTAAATATTTAATTCAAGGATAGTTTGTGAACACTAATAGGTAAAAAATTGCTTGAATTGACTAACCATTTTATAAGTATGATTGAGAGGGTAATTAATCTTTTGTTTACATATCTTGCATAATGCAGACCGGAATACTTAACATATACTCTTTTTATGTTTTAAAATTAATTAAATGTTGACATTTCATTTGCATATACATTTCCATACACTGTTTGTGGCGAATCATAAAAAAAAGAAAGTTGCTTGACTTTATATGCATGATTTAAAGAGTATTTAAAATAAAAGTTATTTGTTTACATAACTTCATAATGCAGATTGATGTATTTAATAGAAATGATAATAGTATAAATACAACAATTAATGCACTTATAAATTCAAATTCTAACTGTATATTAGTTCTAAATATTTAAAACTTCAAAAGGTTAAATAACTTCATTAAGCTTGCATCTGTGATTTTATACTTGCTGCTTGACAATAAAGTTAATGTCCTTGAAATATACTTTAAGATCTAAAATCACTATCGCTTATACCTCTGCAGCATAGTCTGTGTGTTCTTTTGTGTGTAAATTATATTTCATTGTTCACATCTTTGAACTGAATTTTAATTGTTACCTCAGGTGGTGGTGATGGGGCTAAAAATTTTTGAGTAGTTTGTTCTGATTGCACAACTAGAAGGCTTGTTGTATGTTGTTCCTAAGTTTTGTTTAGCTAGTTTGGTTGTTGTTAAGCACAAACTTACACAATTGACTATCTTTGCTGTGCTAACCACGGGTATAGATACCCAGATTTTAGTGGTATAAGCATTCAGACTTACTGCTGAACCACTGGAGGGCTACTGGCACTTACTTGACCATAGTGTTGCCATCTCAATAAATGTGTGAAGTTGAAATATACAAAAAGTTTTATTACATTTGTTACATTAATAAAAAAAATTTATTTCATCAATACTGATGTACTGAAACATTTATAAACACACATACAAATACTAATTCTCTTTAGTGAATTTCACTAATCAGACTTAACTAAAAAATTGCACATAATCCAGTGAGAATTTTTTATTATTTAGTAGCCTCAAAAATGAAACTACTAAATGTTGGGGAAAAAAATCATTTGCTTTACATATATATTATTTAGGGCAAGAATAACTAAATATCTTCAAACACTCGAAAAAACATTTTTTGACTCAACTGAAGGCTAAAGCTTACATACAATGTTAAATAAAATGTGAGTATTCATGGCCACTCACTGTAATCATATCTATAATATTAGAAATTACAGGTAGAAGTTACATTGGTAACAAAAATCTCTTTTCAATAGCAATGCCACAAATACAACAATATGGCACAAGAGTTATTTTATAAAGTTTAAATATTTGGAATCCAACTCTGAACTTTCATACATACAGTACTATAATTTCTTTATAGAAATTATATAAACAAATAAATGCATACGTATCATACTGTATAAAGACACAGATTAATTCTATACATGGAAATGTTTACATATATTTGGAATTATGCTCACATAAAATGAAGCTGCAAAAATAAGGACACATGAATGTTATGTAGATAGGTTAGTAACACATTCTCAACAACAGCAGGCATTGAAAATATTAATACCATAGAGGTATTATTCACTTCACCTACTTTACTATGTTGAGAGTTATAATTTTCCTACATTGAAAATGTATTTCCAACAGGTATTTCCTTCCGCTCACAAGATTAGCTATTCTTGTCCAGTGCTGCCCTCTATTTATGAGCTTTTTTCTATATGCATGCCATAAGCCTTCTACTCCCCACTCTTGGAATCAAATGATTCCAACATGTCTCTCACGCAAATTATCATGAGCCACCTCTCCGCCAATAAGAGCATAGTATACTCATGTGACTCCTGTGACTCTCTCTATGTGCCTCTACCAAACTATCATTTCGAAGTTTGGCAGAAGATGGAAGCACCAGAAGAGTGTAGGGAGGAGGGAAGTACCTATTGGAAATACATTTTCTGTATAGGAAAAATTATAACTTCCAATATGGTACTTCCTTCCTCTCACAAGATTAGCTAGAATCCCACATTGATTAGGTGCAAAGGAATTACAGAATTACCCCCTGAAATCATCTGAAGAATACCCCTGGAAATTAGAGAATCAGATCAGAAGATCTGATGAGA